TGAAGCCCTCTATTCTAATTTTTAAATTTTGGCTATACATACTTTAGTTCTATTGTCTCTGTTTGGACTTACTTTTCTCATAGACTTCTGCTGTCTTTACTGACATTATGTTACATAGAAGTCCTCATTTCAGTGAGCATCTGTAAGAGAGTTGTTTTGAAATCTTCTTTAGGTCGCTTTCTGTTGGATAACAATGGGGTTGTCTTTGCTCCCCCTTTAGGGAGCTTAGGTTTATTGAGTTCATCCCACAGAGTGCCCCTGAGACACACCCAATTCCATCAAGCACTAAGAATCCTATATTGCTTTTTTCCCCTTTATGTCATTTGCATGCATAATTTAGCAATGTCCTTTTTGTATAGACACAGGAAGACAATTCATGCTATGCTTTGTCACATGGAGGTTCATTGACTCCAAAATAATATTTACTACTGGGAATCATATTTACCTGACTTAAGCCTCACTTGCTCTTACTTCCTAGTACCCCAAAAGCAGGGTACTGATGAAGGGACCGGATGGACCCAGGGCAAAGAGTAAGCTACCCTGGCATTGAAAGGAAACAAGCTAATCACCGTAAGTACAGATTAGTTAAGAGCACAGTCATGGTACAAACTCTGTCATGATCCAAAAAGAAGTAACTGCATAAGGACCCTGCTGGGGTTAGGAAAGACAAACCTGGCCTGAGGAGTGTGGTTTGGAATATATAGGGAGATGTCCCAGGGAAGAGCCAACCTTTATCTCTTACCGTGTTCATACAAAATGACTAGAAGTGTGAAAAGAAGTAAATTTACTATAATTGGTTAAGTGGATTACTAGCTGAGGAAAGGAGAAAACAATACACCCTGGATGGAATCCCGCCTTTGAGTGGATCTACTAGTCATCTAGAGTGCTGAACCCTCAGGTGAGATTTTGTCCTTGAGTTAATCTCCTAGAACTTCCCCTGAAGAAGAGGTTATACCTATGTTTGTTGTTATGACAATGTTCAACCCCACCTATGTGTACCCCACCTTTCATGATTTCTATATAACTATGCTGCAAGAGCTAAGAGAGTAAGAGGAAACAAAAAAGTTCGGTACTAGGAGGAGGACCAGATGACACCGATGACTAGAAGGAGAGAACTATGAGACTAAGATGAGACTAGGAAGGAGATAATGAAGGAGAGGACTTTGAGGTCTGTGAAGAGACTAGGATAATGGAACTATGATGACTGGGACCAAAACTACGAGTATGATTGTGCCGTGAGGGGAGAGATCAGACTACACAGAGAAATAAACTGTCTCTCCATCAGCCTGGAGCCTGGACCCAGTTTCTCCGTTCCCCTGGTACTTCATCTGTCAGTCGCCATCATCTGCCCTGGGGAGGCAGCTCTAATCCCTGTTTGGGCATTCATTTCTATTTTTGAAGTTCACATCTTTCATAGCTCTATCATAGCAGGAGTACTTTCCAGGTGGCTGTCTTTACCATCAGTGTGTATAAGTCTATCCATATCCAGATCATCATTTCCAGTATTCCACAAAGGCCTAAGCAGGTGTTGGTGGCCTATGCTCAGGAGGCCTAATCAGACAAATCACCTCTCCCACTATGTAAGCTCATCTACCAGTCTTCTTCCAGGAGCTCATAAGTAAATCTTGAAAGAGGTCAACTAGTCACAAGAATTTCTAGGTCTGCCCAGCACCTGCCCTAAAAGCCCAGCAACTGCTTGTTCTGGTACCCTAAAGCTACTGCCCAATTAAAATTTTAAATCCAGCTAGACCACCCAATTAAAAATTCTGGATGCCCTGCAATAATGTCTCCACTTCTACAGTGCTGACAATCCTCTAATAGCACACCAGATTGGATGGGATGAAATATAGAAGTCAATCAATTTCAACTAACAAAAATGGTAACACAGAAGGCTTAACTTGTCACAACATCTTAGACAAGGACTTAATGTTCCTATGGTGAGATACAACAATTTTCACTAATTTTCTTCTAATGAAATAAATTTTGATCATTCTGTTGGCACTTTATTGGTAACAATCTATACAGAATAAAATACTGTGGACGTGCTACAGAGGCTGACTTGAGGGATGGTTGAGAAAATTGAAGACAATGGTGGAGAGAAGGTGACCATGGTTATATAATAGGATTGTGTTGGAATACTGAATGCCTGTGACAAACGATCATGAACAACTTTGTAAATCGGTGTTTAAATATAATAGAGCAGGTAAGCCATGGCTCCGAATTTGAGGAGTCCCCAGTTTGTTGTCACGAGCCTGACACTGGCTATGGCACCAAGATGGAACATAGCTGGCAACAGTCCTCATTGTTTGGCCTCTGCGCCGGCACTAAGTGTGAGCATAGCTGGACACTGTTTGAGATCTTGGATGCCTGGAAAAATCTGAGCCAGCTTTGAGCAGGCTTAGGTAGAACCCACTGGACTCAGAGTTGCTGGGACCCAGCATCCACTGGTCACTTTAATCAAACAGACCCGATGGTGGTTCAGGAACTCAGATGGGGCAGGAACAGGTGGGGTCTGCACTGCACCTGGCAATAGAGTGTGCACCCTGGTCTTTGTTAGGGAGCAAAGCCCTGATGTCTGTGGACAGACAGGGGAGCACATCTGGTTATGGACCTTAGTATGCCTGGGCATCAGAGCGTTCAGATACAGATTGGCAGGGGCCAGGTAGGTATGTTTGTCTGGTGAGATAAACTCTCCTTATAATAGTCTGACTTTCCTTGGCTCAGGGATTTCCTCTCAGGCTCTGTTAGGATGGAGAATATGATCAATATGGTACCCACCAACACCGCATTCAGCAAGGGGCTCGAGGGCACCAAGATGGTCTGCCAGTAACTAGACCTCTTTATGCCTATGGTTTCTCACCTCTTACAATATTGTTTTAAGTATAGGACTGCAAGGGTAGGGGAATAGGTGTTTAGTGCAGTATTTCCCGAAGCCCCATAGTACAGTGAGACACCTTAGATATCTCCTGATTGCAGCTGACTGCTGTGGTGGAAGACCCTTTGGGCCCACTCTCTCTGAGTGCTCTCCTTCTGTCCCTTGGAAATTTTGTTCATTGTGGTCTCCAGCGTTTTCTTTGCAGGAGTAGAGTATCCCAGTTTCAGTATAGATTTGCGGGGCCTGTAGGAGGGGTTCTCCATACTCAGTCATCTTGGCTCAGAATCCTATCTTGCGTATCGTTTTCTCCTCATCATACTTTGCTGATTTGTGTAGATAGAAAGTACTCAACACATATTTATTAATTTTGAACTTATCCATATTTTGGGAGGGTGTTGATCTTGGTGTATTAGTAATGAGAATATGTGTAAACACACAATAAAGGATGGGCAAAGGGATGGCAGCGGCCTATCTCTCCCACCGCCCACGTTTGGTAGTCTCCGGCCATTTTCCCAGTCCAGGGAGGTTGAAGGCGATTGTCAGGCGGAGGAAGGAAATGGGGGCCAAGCTTGTTGGTCTTAGAAGCAGTTTATTACATGGAAGAAGTATATGTCATAGAGGCCCCAGGATCTCTCAAGAACGTGCACTCCTTTGTTCTATCGGCTTTTGTCCTCAGCCCCATCTTCCCAGGTTCTTTGATGCACGTGTCCCCCAGAGAGTCCTGAAATCTCCCTTAGTACCTCATCATAGTACCTCTAAAGGGCGCAATATAGTGATGTCATCAAAAGGAGTTACAGAAAGAACATTGAGGCAAAACATACCTTGTTTCTTTACTGTGTAAGAGACACAGTGAGGGGACGTCATGGTGAGCCTAGACACAAACCTGCTGAGACACACTAGGCTGCAGGGCTCTTCAGGGACACTAGAGGGCGCTCAGGACTGAGAGGGGCACAAGGACCAGGAGGGGTCAGACCCACAAAGGGAATCCTAACAGCACAGTAACTAACCCACACTGTACTCAGAGTGACTGCGGGGTCACACAGGAGCCCCTGTCCTGCCATCACTCACTCTCAGGAGAGGTCATCCTCAAATCTCCCGCAAGGATCTCTGTACCAACTTCCTCCAGGATCTCACACTTCCTGCACCCCGTGTTTCCGCCCAGCCATTTGGAGTTGATGGCCTCTGACCCTCCCTGCAGTGACCCCGCACACTCCCCTCCTGTCTGCTCCCCGGAGAGTCTCACTCCCGTGCTCAGGAATGCCCAGAGTTGGGCTCAGCTAAGTCTCCTGTCAGGGGTACCTGGTCATCTGAAGAACCACCTGTGACCCCTGAGTCTCCTCTTCTTCCTCACTCTGCCATGTCCTGCTGTGCAGGGCTAAGGGAGGGGCTGCAGGAAGACTCCTGGGGAAGCTTCAGCCCACACCCCTCAGCTCACTCCTGGGCACTCGCCTGCAGGGCCTTCAGGAAGGTACCCTGTCATTCACTAGTGTCTAAGGTCAGGAAGATGCTGTGGGCATCACAACTGCACTGGATAAAAGTAAAACACTGATCCTGTAGCTAGAATGCTCATTGATTGCCATGAGATGTATGTTTGAATAAGAGACATCAATGATGATTAATTATTCACGTGTTGTGCCCTGTGCACGTGGGGAACCTGGAAATCAGGTGACCAATTCCTTCTCATTCTACACCCTGAGACCTGGACCCCTTAATGTGTCCCCCAGACAGGGGGCAGATAAGTTGAGATGCCCAGAACAAGGCAGGAATAACACTTATTCCTCCTGCATCTGATTTTAGACCATTGGAACCTGAGTGGCCTGGATGGTGTCACACTTTATAGAGAAAATCTATTTTCTTGAGAAAGATGTTCAGATAATATTCAAAACACTGAATTCAAAGACACTACAAGAAGTATTTCTGATCACAGATATCTGTTATTCAAATTTTCACAAGATGTCAAATTCCCAGCCTATATTCCAAGTCCCCTTAATGGGAATTGGAAATTCTACTGGTCAACAAATCAAACATCCATGTAAACTACTGACAGTGACATTGATTTTCACAAGTTATTTTATTTCTTAGCATTTCCACCTCTATACCATGACCCTTTGCTCTCCCTTTGCAGGACTCCCCCTATCCAGGCCTTTCTCTGTTACCCAGACTTACTCTAAGGTCTCTGCGAGCTGTAGTGTGGTTCAGGCAGAGTGACCCCCACGTGGGGGCAGAAAGGATTCTCTTCTCCTTGGAGAAGGGGCTGCAGGGGCGCTTCCGAACCCAGAGGGTACTTGGCAGCCACCTGGGAAAAGGTCTCAGCCCCACCAGGGGCAAAGAGGGTCACCATGTGCTAGAAATCCACATGGGCCAATATTCTGTCACACCACAGAGACACTCAGACCCATCAACCACCTCCCACTCCCACTCATGCCCAGTTCCAGTGTCTTTCCCTAGGACCCTTCCCCATCGCTCCCAGAGCAGCTCCATTTTCAGTGACACCCTCACACTCCCTACCCCCTCCCTGTGATCTGTCCTTCCTGTCCCCCACACTCACCCCACCAGGCCCCCAGAACTCCATACTCGCCTGGCAGAGTGAGTATTAATCAGTACTTTCCTGTTTGTTATTATTAGTATAGCTTTCTCTTTGATATTCAAGTAAGATGTAGAACAGCTTTTCCTCATTTTTCTCCCTCCTAGAAAGCTCGTGTGACCTATTTTAAAGATCCAGGATTTAGAGTAATCCAAGACGCCTTTAATCATGAGTAAAAGCCATTATATATCCCTATACCCGAAGGCTATTGATGGTGAGTCTCCGTCATCACACCCTACACACATTTACACAAACATGAAGCACTGCAGAGAGCATGAGGAAGGGATGAGGCGTGGGGGGAGGAATACCATGGGCCAAGGGGAAACACTGGGGTGAGGGGCTTATCCACTGTTTTGGGTGTGATGATCACTGCACGGGTGTCCATATATCTCAGTGCTCATGAAACATTACTGATCTATAATTCGTATTCTGTTTAGGTCATGGCCTGTTGTGAATTTTATTGCTAATCAAATGCTTACATGGTAAGAAGGAGAGACAGAGCCAAAATTGATGTGAAGTCACACTCCATCCACCTTCATGCACCCTGGTCTCTAACATACTCCAGGTAAGCACACAAAAGACATCTTTTTCTTATTACAGGGAAAAAGTTCTTGAGAGCTATCAAGCCCATATTTTATTATGTTGCTGGTTTGGGTTTATTGTTCAGTTGGTTTTAGTTTTGGGGCCAGACCTGGTGATTCTCAAAGGTTCATCCTGGTTCTGTATACGAGAATTACTTAAGAGTGATTACTAAAGGTGCTAAGAGACCTCGTGGAATATTGGGGATGGAACCTGGGTCGTCCATGTGCAAGGCAAGTGCTATGAAGGCATGGATATTCCTGGGACTAATGTGTAAAACTAGAAAATACCTCAGCATCTAAATATTCACATATTAACCAGTTGTGGACCAGCAGGAAATCCTTTTCTCTGAGATGGAATCCAGGTCTTGGGAGAGACACCTTCTGAGAGACTGTGGCCCTGCCCCGTGTGCGTATTTGCATCTCTGTATCCCTGAGCTAGATTCCCGCCACTAGACACATGGGGAGTGGGGAAGGTGAAACCATGGTCATGGTCACAGTCAGAAGTCCAGGATCACGTGGTGTTCGGTAATGAGAGCATGTCTGTGTCCTGTCCCAACCTCGCTGTGACTTTTCTCTGTGAGCATTATGCAGTAGAGTGAACCGTGCATGCCTCTCCCTCTGTCCCTATGACCCCTGACCTTGGAGGCATCATGGCTGTGCTGAGGAGATGCTTCACTTGGAGAGTACAGAGGCACCAGGGAGATTTGTGCGGAAGGGCTGATCCCTAAGCGACAGCAGCAGCGGTTCCTGAGCAAGATTCAGGGGATCCTGTTAGCAATGCCAGAACTCAGCACTTCCAGCACCTTAATTCACCTGCCATAAAATTCCTAGGAAATAAATGCCACTTATTGAGACAGTTTTGGAAGTATTTTGAGATGTAAAAGGAATAACCAAACATCTCTACTTGGTATCTGTAGGCAGAGAGGACAGACATGCAGGGAGAAATACATGAACACTTACTGTTAACAATGAGCGTAGTTTTAAGAACTTAGAGAAAAGGGTTTAACAAAACCCATGAATTAAAAACTACAGAATTGGTACTTGGAGAACTAAGCACATCTCCCATTAGTGTCCATGATGTGTCCATGCAGACATGATAGAAGCCATGGGATGCCTGCCACATGCGTGTTTGCCCACAGTCTTCCCTGACATCTGGGGGCAGTAGAAGTAGTATAAGTTTTTCTTATTATGCAGTCCCAACAGCTCAATTTTTACTTTAAAATTTTTACTTTAAAATACCTGCGAATTACAGTAGTAGGGGTGAATCAGGGAGTAAGCTCAGAGCGCACACGATGTCACCCATGGTTTCCTTCACAAAGGGAACATTGCAAGCCCAAAGCCCCACTGATGCTTAGAAAACCCCGTTGGAATTTTGTTCCAAATATGGGCACAAATCTGCTCCAACAGAGGCCAAGGAGGATCAAGAAGGCAAAGACCCTAACTGAGGGCCAGCTTTGAGAACATGTGTGCCAACACAAATCTATGATGGGCAGAGACACATTCTCAGGGGGTCAAGTCCAGAAATGAAGCTTCTGTGATAGTGCCTGATGTATTTTTCTTGTCTGTGCCCAAGAAAAGACTCCTATGTAGGTCCCTGGGTATTACGCTGCTACTTACCATAGTGCAGTGCCTCAATTCTACCCTCATTCCTCTCTACATGGTACCACTCTCAGATGTCACCCGAGAATTCTCAAGATTTCAAGTCAACAACCACTGGCCTCATTATCCTAAAGTTCTTACTTACTCCTGAAAACGGAACACATTTCCCTGGGAAGCATTTTGTCAATAACACAAGGCTGGTCTAGAGCAACTAAATGCAGGGTGGAAATTTCCCTAATTACACACAGTGGAAACCCACCTCCAGCCATTGGCAGAGAGGAATGCCGAGCAGTGACTATCATGAAGGAAATCTCTCTCATTCTTATGCCAGGGACATCAGCTAGCAGACGTCTCTGCAAAGTTGGGAAAATACTGCAGAATTATTATTGTCCTGGTATACAGGTTTCACATAGCTAACAATGGACAATTCTACCTTAATTACTCCAATGGCAATGTTGATAAGAGTAAACCAAGTCATGGATCAAAGTAAATTCTCCTCTGCATAATATATCAAAGAAACTTCCTTGTCAGAGATTATGATAGTTTTTTGTATAATCAGCTAATGTATCTGCTGGATACCTACATTCAGGATTTTTACAGGTTCAAAATCATATGGGACATGACAGAGAAAATTTTACCATGCCATTAGAAACATTAAAAAACAGATGAAATGCTTTCATGGGAGAATTATTTGGTGTTTACTTTCATATTAAACCATTTGAAACCCACTAATGATTCATGGTTCCTGATGTCCTTCTTGTGGGTGTGAAATTCTGTGTTAGATGCACAGTTTTCTCTGGGACAGCCCTTGTCTGGACCATGAGTGAAGACTGGGCAGAAACGGTTTCCCGCGGAATCTGACTTACACAAACTTTAGACAGATTGTGTCTGGGCCTGACCTGGACTCGGTCCTGACAGTGCATCATATTCGCATCCGGATTATTCTCCCTCGTCATGGTGAGTGTGTTTCAGGGCCTGGACCAGCTGGGCTCTCTGACAGACAGTTGATGGACAGTGGGAGCTCATTCCCTGTTCGGACGCAATGGAGGCAGATGGAGACAGTGTGGGGAGTGCGTGCAGCCCTACATGTCCCAGAGAGTCTGCAGGAGGGGTCGCCCCAACTCAGGACTACACACGGGTTCAGCCCCAGGAGCACCGAGGAATATGATTTCTGAGTGCTCAGAGCAGAGTGCTACAGGGCTCAGAGAGGAATGAGGTGGAGGCAGTTTCCTGGTGGCAGCCTTTCAAGGAGCCTCCAGATCCAGATATTCCAAGGCAATTGGTCACTGAAATAACAGAAGGAGACTGAGCAGCAGGGGTCCCTCAGGCACCCCCACAAAGTCTTCAGCCCAGCAGCAGGCACAGCGGGGTGGATGGTGGATGGGTGTTACCTCAGGTCCTGGGTTTCACTGATTTAATTAAAAAAATGAAATTATCCCAGGGAAAGACTTTGTGAATGGCAAGAGGAACTGTTCATAAGTACCTGGTATTATTGGGAGAATTAAACAACAACAACAACAACAACAAACAAGATAATGACAATAATTCAAAGATAATTTCAAGTATTGCTTGGGGGCTCTAGAAGCTTGCAGAGCTTGCCGATGAAATTGATTACAATGATTACTAATGCGGGGACATCTAATTCTCAAACATGGGGCATGGAGGTATCCAAACTCTGATATAAACCCTAGGACATGACTCGTGGTTTCTGTGCTCCTCAGAGGTGGGTACCCTAGGGGAGTGGCCTGGCAGGACTTTCCCTCAGCGGAGGGGCTCTGTCTGCTCAGAGTTCAGGGACAGGGCAGGGGTCAGGCTCACAAATAAGCACCGTCATGGACTTGGACACTCCTCACTTGGTGAGCACTGGACCCTGCGTCACCCACCTGATCTCCCTCCAGATTGGGACAGGTCTTCAGCTCTGATTTTTCCTCATGAATGCCCAAAACTGCCCTCCCATTCTTCATTGATTTGCTCGAGTGGGCCCAGTAACGTCTCCATTGTGAGACTTCTTGTTACTGTGTTTGGCATATTGAATACTCTTGATAGCTTGCCAGGCTCTCCAAGAGGGGCAGAGGAATCGAACACGGCTCGGCCAGGCTGGCTTCCACGCAAGGCAAATGCCCTACCGCTGTGCTATCACTCCAGCCCTCATGAATATCAACATTAACCAAGGTACACTGTGTAAATAAAGACAAATGTGTTCCCTGAGAACAGGTTACAACAATACGACCCTCCTACCTACCCCAGAGACCCTCCCTACAAACTTCCTACACGAACCTGCACCTGGGACGGGCCTATTTGATTGTCTCCCATGATAATGGCTCTCAGTGACGGTCTCCTGTCCTGGCTGAGGGGACCAGGGCCCTCAGGGGGAGAACACGGCCCTTTTCCCCTCACAGCGGAGCACCCCCAGGCGCAGCAGGTGCCCTGTGGGCAGAGGGGGACTCTGGGCGTCTGAGAGGGTCTCTGAGGCATCCTGGTCCGCTCCGCCGGCGTCTCTGTGCGGGTGTGGACTCAGCCCAGACCCGGTTTGGGGATGGGACAGACCCCCCCTCCCCGATGACGGGGACCCGGTCAGCACAGCAGTGGCCGGGCAGCGTCTCCCTGACTGGACATGTCTCAGCACAGCCCACAAGGTGCTGAGCGTCTGGGGTCTCGGGACTGTCCAGGGGGACCCCCACGTGCGGGACACCTGGGGTGAGGCATGACAGTGACCGCCGGACGCCCCCGAGGACAGGGTCGGAGGGATGAGGGATTGGGATGACCATTAGGGAGACGGACTCGGAGTGTCGGGGCCCCAGGAGCACCTTGGGGATGAGCCTGATCCAGAAGCGGGTCCGGGTCCGGCTCGGCCAGGCAGGGGAGGCCACGGGCAGCACTGCCCACACAGCCCCGGTGGCCTACGGCCCCACGTGGACACAGGGAGCCCCGGGACAGGCCCAAGCGGACACTGGCTCCCGCTGATCCGTCCAGCGGTGGCACCTGACTGGGGCTGTCCGGGCCCAGAGAGGGTTGGTCAGAAGGGGCGGCAGGGGCGGGGGCGGGGCTGCCCGACCTTTGCCCCCTAACCCTCTCTTACTCTCCCTCTCTCACTCTCCCTCTCTCTCTCTCTCTCTGTCTCCCTTACTCTCTCCCCCTCTCACTCCCTCACTCTCTCTGCCTCTCTCCCCTTTCTCTTCTTCACTCTCCCTCTCTCTCTCCCTCTCTCTCCCTCCATCTCTCTCTCTCCCTCTCTCCCTCCCTCCCTCTCTCTCTCTCTCACCCTTAGTCCTTGTGCCCTTCCCTCCCTCCTCTCCCTTGCCCACTGGAGCTTCTCTGAGAGACCGAGGTGTGGGTGCTGGGCACTGGGGCTCAGCTGAGGTGCTGTCTCCCCTTGTGCTTTTCTCCTTTCACTTGATCCGCAGGAGACCACCCTGTGTTCTCTCTGCACCCCGCTGCCTGCATGGGGAGTTCTGTTCTGTTGTGGCTTTCTGGAAGGCACCAGAGCAGGGCCTGGGCCAGCATCTCTTGCAACTGGCCAGTCTCAGGGGCAGGACCTGTTTGGACTGGCCGCCCTCCTGGACTATAACCCATGATCCCCAAACAAGGAGGAAGTTACATGGTCCCTGTATTTGTCTCCCTGTTCCACTTTCTATGGCCCTTGCTCTGTTGCCTCTCCCCGGATGGGTGGACTGAGCAGAATGGGTGCTCCCACTTCAGACAGCAAGAGAGATGTTGGGCGCAGGGACATGAATTCTGTGCAGCCACTTTGTGCTCTGGCATGTCCAGACTCATCCTGCTGCTCCTCTACTGGTTCCCCACTGTAGTGGGCTTGGAGTGTACAGCTGAGTCTGGTACAGACCCATGGTCTCATCAGACCCCTTCTGTCTGTCCTTGCACATGCGGGGCTCCATCCTCCCCCAAACTGGCCCAAAGTGGGACCACATTGGTCTCAGAGATTGAGGTCATTCAGTGGATTATCTCCATGGTATTGAGTGGATCATCTCTGTGGCACCTGCCAGGGACCAGGAGGCTTGGCTGCTGCTTCTGAGTTAACACACGGGTATAAACATTCTGAGGTATTCCAGGGCTGGTCAATTTGGGGGAGAGTCTGGACCTTAGCGGGGTGCTGAGCCCTTGGGCAGCATCAGGGAAGGAGGGTGTGAAGCAGGATGCAGGGTCAGAGCTCCTTTCCAGCAGGCCCCTCAGCTTCCCTCATGCCATCTCTGTCACAAGTTCCCAGCAATATCCAGAGCTCTCGCTCTTCTTCTGCCTGTCACATCTGCTTCTGAAAAAAGAAAGCTTTGTGTAACAACAATACTTAAGGAAGACATACATTGTGTGGGCTCTTTAACCAATGGTTTTAGATCACTTATTTATATCTCAATCTGGACCGATAAGTAAAAGCAAATATATCTACACTCTGGGAAACTGGGCTGATAAGAAAAACAGAAATGCCTTTAGCAAAAATTTTGGTAAATGAAATGAAAAAAATCGTGTTCTTTAACATTAGAGTAACAACGGAAAACAGAATCAATAATCTTGAGGACAAGATGCAGAAAACCTCCAGGCAACAATGAAAGTTGGGAAAACACCTTAAAAAACTCAACAACAAAACAGACATTGATTCAAGAGGAGCAGTGTAAGAACCCTCAGAGTCAGAGAAGGATAAGGAAGTAAGCAAAATGAGATAATATCAGTTAAGGACATCATTGTCGAAAACTTTCCAGAGCTGGGAAACATAAACATTCACATTCAAAATGTACCAGCTAAAATAGACCCTAATCAAAAGACTCCAAGACATATCCTAATCAGAAGGACCAACACCATAAACAGAGAACAATACTGAAAGCAGCAAGATCAAAGAAAGAAATTTCAAAGGAGTGTCCTTAGATTTACAGCAGACCTATCGAATTGATGTTGGCAGGCAGATAGGGAAGGCCCTTTCCCAAGGCAATGGCCGTAAATCTCCCGAGAAGGAACAACCCTGACCTCAGGGAGAACTGTTGCCTGTCTATAACAGACCCTGAGGAGGCTGGACCACCCCCCTCCAACAGAAACACCTGCAGAAGCAAAAGTCAGGAAAGGAATTTCAAAAAAGACCATCATCATTCCCAACCCCCTAGAAACCTCCCTAGCAACAGACTTTTACATAGGTAGAAGCCCCACATGGGGGCAGGGTGGAGAAACCCTAGAAAGGCCATCTTAAACTAAGGAAGCACGCACATATGCTGTCCGAGTCCGTGTGCTGACTGCACTCATCTGGCTGAGCACATGTGGTGCCTGAGCACATGTATCATCCGCATCTCCCCTCTTGAGATGTGTACTTTCATGTTTTTATGTCTAATGCTGGCATGTGTGTAGGGGCTTTCTCTTGAGCAGGATCCTCTCCACTCTCTCCCACTTTCTCTCCCTCCTTCCGTTCAAAACCTCCAAATAAAAACAAATTTCACTGCACGTCTACTCCTGAAATTCCTTTATTCCGGGTGAGAAAAGAGCCCAGTAACCATGGGTCCCGGTTGGCAGAGGCGGATGGGGAGAAAGATACCGTCTATCTCCTCACTTCACGTAAGTCACCCATGGGTCCCACCGACATCAAAATGAATCCTCTGGGTCCAAGAAATATGGTAATATATAGCATAAAAATAACAGCAAAAAGGAGCTTCACCAAGAATACTTTACCAGTAGACTTTCGTTTATATTCAAAAGAAATAAACGGAGGTGCAGTCGCAGGCTGTAAGGTTGGTGGTGCTGGTAAATGACACCAGGGATGCAGAGCCAGTAGGGCTGATGCAGTTCTGGTGGGTGGCGAGCAGGGGAAGGAGGTCGGATGGTGGGAGAAGGAGGCGGCTGCGAATAACTTATAAATGTTGTTCAAACTTTCACCGGATACCAATATCCCAGCCTGTATTTAAGGATATTAATTATTTCTGTGTCAGGAATGCTACAGGTCAATGAATCAATCTCCCATTATAATA